GAGTTTCACACCTGGGAGCTGTTATAACTCAGCCCTTACTAGAAGCAGGGTATTCCTTTTTAAAAGTTGCTTAGCCATCCTTAGACACACAGAGCACATGTATATTCACACATAATCACTTGAAAAAAATACTACCCCTCCTCCCTTCCAGCTTCTAAGGACAGAAATTAGAAACACCTTCAAATAACTGTAAATAATAAACCCCGTCACGCTAAACACTTCAAAGTGGAAGTGCAAGTGTCTCAAGAAGCTTGGGGAACTACACATAATTATGAATTAGCTCTCAGAAACAGATGATCTCTCAGATAATTTCTCATTCCAAATAGATTTTAAAAATAATATTCCCTGTGATCTGGCAGAGAGAGTAACTGCTTACCAATAACTGCTGTTCTTCAACTGCCTGCAGAGCAGGAGCAACAGCAGCGATGGGCAGAACTCCGGAGAAACCCATGCTGGTCACCCTTGGATCCTCAGGGCAGGTCCTGATACTGCCCGATGTCCAGCTGAATCACGCTCCATACACTTTCCTACTCCTGAGACAGAAAGAGGCTGGAGAGGGGATACTTGGAAGAGCTGTGGGACTGTGAGATGGGGGCTGGGGAAGAGAATCACCTGCTCTGATGGAGTCTCTGGCAACAACTTTAGGTGGTTCTGCCAGGGGAACATCCCTTGGAAGGTCAGAAGAACCTACTGCTGCAAGGACCTTGTAGAAAACCCTCGACTGAAGTAGGACCTAAAGTCTTGCCCGACGTGAACCACGGGAGAACGCGCTCCCTGCACAGAAAGTTGCAGCCCCAGGGCTGAGGTGGGCTGACCTGTACCACCCTCTGCTCCAGAACAGCCATTCAAGCCCAGGGTGGAGATCCTCCTTTTCCTCCCTCCTTCACAGCTAAAAAAAAGCCTTAAAAGCAGGCTGCCTGGAGGCAACCTGGGAACTGTGAAGCTGGGGGTCCTGAGGAAAGACTGGGTAGCAAAGATAGCAACTAACCTGCTACAGACAGCCGGCACGGAGTCACCTGCCCGTGCCTACAGTAGCAGAGGAAAGAGGCGGCGACAGGAACAAGGACCGATGTGTCTGGAAGGAAAAGACCAGGATGCTTGCTTCGTCCTTCAAAAGGTAACAAAGACAAAAGGGGTGCTTGCCTAGCTTATAAAAGGCCTGCACCAAGAGAAACGCTGGCATTGTGGCCCGCAGACAGGAAACCTTCCTGCTAGGTGAGGGTAGGACACGCCACTGGCACGTGGTAGCAAGCCCAGTGCCAACAGCAGCGAAACAGAGGCCCGGCACGCTACGCTCCAGCCTTCGCGCTCGTCGGAGGAATAAAGCCTTTGCTGTGCGTTGCAGTTATCTCCAGAGCTGCAGGCTCCAGCCACAGGACTCTGGGTTACAACGGCCGGATCCAGCTCCCAGAGGACGTGCAGACGTCACGCACGCTACATGCGGAGGAAAAAAAAACCCAGCGGCCCTCATTGGAAAAGCTGCCGAGAGCGAGCCCATTTCATGGGCTGTCTGCCCCTCCAGGACATCCTCCTTCGCCTCCATCTCTCCTTCTCCGCCCCAGCGATTACAAATGAAGAGGAAAGCCAAAGCACAGAGCGGAGCGATGAACCTGGAGAAGAGCTGGCAGCGTTTTTGCAGAGCACGGTGCACTCACACAGCAGGACACAGGTGCCTACAACAGAGCGGGCCCGGAACAACTGGATGCAAACAGTAGCCTTCAGCTACTCATGTCAAAGTGTCCAAGAGAGCGCAATGGCTTTGAGGAATCATCTAGCAAGGTCTCACGGGCCCCCACTACCTTCCTCATTAAACCTCGAACAAAGCTGCGGGGTGTGTTGGTGCACTCCGGCTTGTCCTTCCCAGGGGGAGAAGGGAAAAGCTGGAGTGAAAGACAGTGCAAAGGGCTGGATTCAGTGGTAAGATTTGAAAATGGCAATAAAGGGAAAAAGCAGCAGCTGGAGGAGGAAGAGTACAGGGCCCCTTTTGTCACCACGTAACACAGAGACCTCCGCATACTACACCGCTAAGGTAGTAGTAGTCGGGAGCCAGCAACAACTGCTTTCCCCAAAGGCTGAATACGTGAGTGGCGGGGATGGTTGCCCAGACAGCTCAGTGCATCAGAAATAGCCACTAGGCTAGTAGGCCACCTGCACAGCAAGCCCCAGGCAGAGCAAGCTTCAGACCCCGCGCAGCATCGGTGGCACGGACGGCTCCGCTGCTGGGCTCCCAAGCCTGAGCACGAGCGGGCCGAGAACCAAGAGGTGAGGGAGTGCAATGGCACACTCCTCGTCACCTTATGACCGCGATTTTAGTGTTCCCATAAAGGGCAGCTCTCCTGGGGCAAACGTGGGAACTGAGTCAATGGTCACCTCTCCTTTAACTCCTGGAGCGGCTGAGGAAGGCTCAAGTGTCTCCTCAGCGTCACTTTAGAGGACACGTGCGCTTCTGGGAAGCAAAGCTGAGCTCAAAGGAAAGGCAGGCTGAACCCTTGGGAAGGAGGGAAGTATTTGTAGCCTTTGCACCAAGCCTCACCTGCCCCTGTCTGAAATAAGGCCTAAAGAGCTTCTGAAATACCTTTTTGAAAATGCCCCTGACTCCTTACAAGATAAATTTTGGGGTCTGGGGTGTGTTTTGATGGGGAAGAGGTGCCGCAGAGGGAGGAACTACTGGCAGAAGAGACGACTTGCTGTGGCAGCAATGCAAGCACGCAACCCGCACCACAGGCAGGCCACAAAAACCCCCTTGAACCCTCCGTCATACTTCATGCCTATCTATTTACCAATTACTTTCTCCAGCACCTTTTGTTTTAAGCAACGCATTGGTGTAAAGACAGCAAAGAGGCAAGCCAATTTGCACGCTCGTCTTCGTTCTCTAACCTGCGCTTCATTAATTGTGAGTTGCTTTAAAAATAATTTAGGGCGATGCTTTCACTGCACGTTGCTGCAGCCTGAGATGTGTTTACTTCCCAGAACATGTGCAAAGTGCTCACCTCTGCCCAGCTTTGGAAAAACCCAACAGCAACCCAGCCTCTGGGCTGACTGGCTGGGGGGAGGTTGCTTTTTCCTCCCTGCCCGCTCCCCCCCCTTCCAGTAATTCTTTGCTCCAACACCCAGATCTGTTTAAAAACCTTGAAAATATAGATGTTTATCGTTAATACATCACGTGGGGCAACGATACCAATTCCCATGATGGGCAGATAGCCGGGGCTTGCTCTCGGAGGCACGCCATGAGTCACGGTGATGACAGCTTCAGACACTGAATTCCTCATGTTAGGAAACAAAGTTAACGATTTATTGTTTTTAATAAAATAATTGCTTTAATGCAGTATTTAAAATAACTTTAAACATCTGATCAGTAAGATACAGTACACAAATATGGAAAATGCTGCACTTTACATAAAAAGTAAAGCTAAGCATTTAATTATACAAAACAATTTTGCCTGATGCCATCAATATCTTGCAAACTATAGCTTAGTCAAAGTACTGCTTTTCTTTTATATATATATATATACGTGCTATATATACATATATAAATAATTTACAGCGTTCATTTACTAGATTCGCTTACTACTGTTCCAACACAAAAAACCATAACCAATTCAAAACTTACTGAATTTGGTAACTATCTGCAGTGGTTCTGACAGCGGAGGGCATTTGAATCATCGCTTCAAGTTTTGAAGTAGCATGCCAAATAACCATAGGAAGCTTGTTTCTTAAAAGAAAAACGTTTAGAAAGCCATTCAATAGAGTCAGTGCCTTTCCCACCAGTCCTGGGAAACAGCCATGCTACACAGCACAGTGTCACAGAGGCAAAATGTTTGGAGGCTGGGGAGAAGGGCAACCCAGAGGTTTTTCCTGCCACCACAAGGCAGTTTCTACCAGCAAGCAGAAAAAACTTTGAATCTATTCTAGCAGTCTTTATCATCTCCTCATTGAACGTAAACCAGGCAACTGGCTAAATACTTTTCATTTGGGAGGTTTCCCTGTTGTACCACATTACAGTATTATAAACATCAAGATGACAATTAAATCTGTTCTCAATAAAGCAGCGAATCCCGTGCTTTGCAAACACTGCTTTTCTCCTTGAGAGCCTCCAGCTGCAAAGTTTCAATGCATCTCAAGTTTTTGCCTTTTTTGCAGTCAGCACAGGTTGCTTTTGTTTCTTTCTTTCTACATCTGTGCTCAAATTCAACACTATTTTTCATATCTACAGAAAGAGAAACTGTTTCTTCTGTTTACCCTTCCTTTTCAGGCTCTTTCACTCCCTGTATTCAAGTTCAACAACTCCAGATTTCCCCAAACAACGAAGTATGCTCTAACTACACTGGTATACTTCAAACACAAGAACAACCAATTTGTTCACCTTCCCTCAGTCACTTTCTCAGAGGAAAGAGGGAGGGCAGCTGAGGCAAGGTAGGGGGGGCAAGAAAGCATCCCTCATTCTTTTTGCTGGCTACTTTGCTTTCCACAAAACAGGCATCCAGTCATAATTCCAAACCCAGAAACTTTAGGAAGATGCTGAGTCCGACAGGCAATACATCAGCATGTGGACTGACTGCTGGCTCATGATTAAATACAGTTGCCATGCTATGCAGTGCCCCTTTAAAGTGTTGCTTGTTTCCCTAGATAAGGTTGAGATTAGAAGAAGGCACTACACGCAGAACAGATGTTGCAGACTCTGGAGTACTGAAGCAAGTGACATACATAAACTAGGGACACGTACCAAGCCCTTAGAGCCTGCAAGACAGTTCAGTGTGAGCAGGTAGTCAGGTGCTTGTGTGTGCAGCTCAGTGTTTTCAACGGTTTACAGACTGATTTAAGCCAAATATTATTAAAAACCCTATAGGTGCTAAGTTAGGTGTTTAATAAAAATGTTTATCTGTAAACAAGAGTTATCCTTACAACGGATCATTTTCCAGAAATTGGAATTACAAGACAGTGCAACAACGCTTCAGTGTTTTCTTTGGCAGTAGACAGCAACTTGAAATGTGAAATCCAAATCACTTCAGAAGAGCACGGTACAAGGTTAGAGAATGCTTCATCTCCCTCTCTTGTTCCATGCAGAATATCAAGTCCCTGAGACAGACGCGGGTTATTCTTGGACAGAGCAGCTGTTTCGTAAGGCTAAAACCCGATGATCCAGGAGCAATTCCATTGCCATTCAAACCCTAGACGGGGAGAGAGGGGGAAAAAAAAAAGTTATAATTCCATGTAAATACAGGTTTTTATCCAAACTGGTTGGATTATACTGCCTACTTACATAAAACTGGCCTGTTGATGTTCAGCTTTACATGCTGAAAACCAGCAATCCAGAAATACTTGCATATTAGACACTTGAGAAGACAAAGCAAGCACTTGCCAGTTGATGGTTTATTTCAAAGCAACCAGAAAATCCTACCTTTCTTTAAAACCACATTATTATGGCAAGATAAGTAACTTCTCACTGAAGTCATACTACAGACACTTGTGCCAAGAAAGGACAAGTTAACTGAGAAGAAGTTACTACCACAGCTCTTATGCAGAGCCCCAGGTCGTGCACAGCTCTTACTCCCACTTGCAAACCCCCAAGCTCCAGGCTCTTCGCAAAGAAAACCGTCGCTGCGAGTGGGCTCTAGCCTTGAAACACGGCCAGGAGAAACTCCTACCCTGGCCATCACCTGTGAATTGTCCCTTAAGGGAGCAACAAAACACACACGCAGCTGAAGGACCCGTGTGTTCAGAACACTGTATCCGAGCCTATCCATCTCAGCCGGCTGCCTCGCTGGGTTATGAAAGCACAACTGGTAAGCGACGATGACGTTTAGCAGTTATACATTCAGGCTATTGGAATGAGCAACCCCCACACATTCCAAAATGCCCCAAGATTTATTATTAGGGGTGGGGAGGAGGAAGATTACCATGCGCTGCACAATAGACTGGCTACTTATCTTGGAGCCAATCTATGCTACACAGCCAGTCTCTTATCACTACTGGAGGGTTCTTGGTAATGAATGCAATTTGTACAAATACGAGTGCTCAGTCTCTGTAACTTCAGCAAGGCAATGCCTGCCAGCATCAACACCACTTGGAGATGGTGCTGCTTGGATGCCGTGTTAACTATATTAATTCTTACCCTAACACTCTCTGCAAGACTTCAGCAAAATGACTTTGCCCACTTTGCTTAGAGAAATCTGGTTAAAAACCCCCATATATTAGAAACAAATACCAGTGCTGGACTATCTATAGCAGTGAATGCTGCTGTTGTTAGGGGGGGAAGCATTGAAATTTATTTAAAAAAAAAAAATAGAGATTCACCAGAGAGCACACACTAATAACAGAAAACCCAGGGCAGATTACAGAAATGGAAGCTGTATTTCTTACTAGGCAGCATGCAGGGTATTCAGCACCATTTCATTTGCTTTACAGTCAATACTATTAAACACTATGAAATGCCATCATTTGAAACTTTCAGTTTGTTAAATGGCTCGGAACAAATGCGTGCGTGGGGAAGACTGCTGGCCACATCGCACGGAGAGGGCACTGCTGTCCTGGTAAGACACAAAAGGGTCACAGTTCAAGTTTGTCATATGACAACCCTGAAGGATCCAGGGAAAAGATAGCTCTGCAATGCAGCTGCCAGCACGGGTTGAAAAGGAGGTCAATCCTACAGGATGCAGCAGAAGGCCCGAGGCAATGTTATAAATGAAACAAACCCCAAGGGTTTTCAGTAACCCAACAGCAATGTCCTTTATAATTCAAAGAACTTTATGGAGGTGAAAGTATTTTCTCTCTAAATAGTCATTAGACTAGAAGGCTTACCTTTAAAAAGACATCAAACAAAGCCACCTCCACTCCCGTTCACTCCCTTACAAAAAGCAGGCAGACAGCACAAATCCCCGAGCCTGCTTTGGAAGCTGTTGGAGCCGCAAGATGCTATGACAGGGCAGAAGCCCCAAGCTGCCTGCATCTGAGACAGAGCTAGGGATTTGTTTACTCTTAAATTCTTACCCATCATGCCCAGTGCAGAGACGTAAAGCGATGTTATGCTGTAGTATCACAACCAAAATCAAAGCTTATCCTGGACTCCTTTTTGCTAAGACTACCAGTTCATACATCCAAGTTTCTCCTAGCATCACACCAGCCTATCAGAGCTCTCGAGTACAGCATTTCAGGGGCCCTCTGACTGGTTACTGAACATACCTAAACCAGCAGCTGACACCACAGCCAAGTTAAAGGGTCCTTCTCTCAAAGTGCATGATGGTTTAAAATTAAAGCAGCCGAGAGACAGCCGAGGTCAGTCCAGTCCAGACTGGGACTGTGTTAGGGAGCTCACTCTGAATTGCTTTTATAAGGGAATGAGCACTAACTCCATTTAGCTACTCTCCCCTACAGCTGCATCGAAGCACTGGTCTTTCACCAGTGGAGGGTGATGTAATTACTACCTGTCTTTTAGCAATAAAACATTTAGAGAACCACATGTAAAAACACTTGAAGTTAAGATGCTGTTTTTGCTTCAAAATGAACCATCACAGGTGTCTCTGCTGATGCCCAAGACCTTATTTAGGAGTGCCCAACTGAGCTCTCCAGCACGCTTTAGTGGAGGGCCTGCTGCTGCTCAGTTCTCAGAGCCTCTTCTTGATCCCGTTCCTGACGGGCAGCAGATTGATCTTGTCTGGCCCCAGGCAACAGTCAGCAGCCCTCTCCTTCACATCCCATATACCTCTTCCTGCACAGAAGCTCCCCCACACTGCTTCTGAGACCTTAAATACAACACCAGCCCACCCCTTGCTTCCACACGTCTCTATTGTTCTCCCCATTTGGGCAGCAAACGCTTGGGCCTTGCTATTTTGGAGGATTCTTCACTGCAAAGCATCTTCAGCCCATCCTACAACACCTTCATGAGCCTCTTCTGTGAGGAAGTGGCAAGCGCTGCTTTTCAACCCAGCCACAGACAAGTACGAAGATTAACGAATATAAAACACACCCCCACAGAACAAATTCTAAGCAAAGGGTGCTGCAACCAGCCCACACCCTGCTTCTGCAATATCTAATTAGCAAATTCTTTCTCTGTTCCTTTTTCTTTCTTGCTTTCCTTCCGAAAAGGAAAGGACACAGACACATGCGGCCTGGGAGGGGTAAGTACCAGCACGGATATTACCAGCTGACCTGGGTATCAACAGCCATGCTACAGCCAGCAGCACCAGCTTCAGCCCAGCTGACAAACCCTGTCCGTAAGCCAGGTACGGCACCGTGGCAACGGGGCTCTGCACCACTGCAAACCACTCTTGGCAGCACCCAAACCACTGGCTGGCTTAAAACCAGCCCTTTGGGGCCACAATGGCAGCAGTCCTGCTTCTGGCCTGTCCTCAGAGCCCACTCACATCGGCAACTTTGCTAAAGCAGCAGGCTGTCACCCCTTCGTGATCCTGAGAGTCTGTTACATACACCTGGCAGAGGTCAGTTACTCTCACTGATCCTGGCAGCAGAAGACATCGCAGAGCTCCGGCAGCAGTCCCATGCCTGTTGTGCAGCTAGCCTGGTTTGGGAGGTTGCTCCCAAAACCTGTCATTAAGATCTCTAGAGCTCTCTCCAGTGGCTGGACTGAGAATTAAACACTCTCTCTGGAAAGCCAAGAATGAAATTGATAGAGAGCCACAGCTCACAAGGCTCTTCCTTTACCCGAGCTACACTTATTCCTAGGCTCCAAGGTACTTGGTGCATGTGACCTCCATGTCTACATGGTAGGTACTGACAAGATCAGCAAAGTTGCTCAGGGCTATTCTACAGGCCCCATACAAAGCCCCAAGGGCTCGGCAGACACCTTCCTTCCCACCAAGTTCAGGACAGGCTCAGTGAGCTGTTCCTGCCGGAGTACATGCTCCCTTCTCCAATTCAACAGCTTCACACTGATGACATTCAAAATCTTAAACTCTTAAAGAGGGGAGCACAGCATTCAGTCAAATGTTAAAAAGCCAAGCTAAGAGTTCTCATTTTGGGGTTTTTTTTGGTGCAGCATAAACCCAGTCCCAGAGTCAAGATCTCAAGAGAACAAGCTGTCACTGCAGCTCTGCTGCACGTTATAAAAATACCACCAGCAGAAGGAAGCAAAGTCACAAGGCAGTTCTCAATGACCTCTCCAAACATGGAATAGGAAGACCTTATAGCACCTTCCAGTACCTGAAGGGGCTACAAGGAAGCTGGGGGGGGACTTTTTACAAGGGCCTGTAGTGACAGGACAAGGGGTAACGGGGTTAAATTGAAAGTGGGGAGGTTTAGATTGGATATCAGGAAAAGTTCTTCCCGGAGAGGGTGGTGAGGCACTGGAACAGGTTGCCCAGAGAAGCTGTGGATGCCCCATCTCTGGAAGTGTTCAAGGCCAGGCTGGATGAGGCTTTGAGCAACCTGGTCTAGTGCAAGGTGTCCCTGCCCATGGCAGGGGGGTTGGAACTAGATGGTCGTTAAGGGCCCTTCCAACCCAAACCATTCCATGATTCTATGATAGTTATGGCTGCACACAGCAGAGGCGTACTTGGAAGGTGGCAACGCTCTCTAGCATATCGGGGCAAAACCCTCCGGGTTCAATCCCCAGCTCTGTCACCTGTGGTCACACAGAGGTCTGTGACGCCTGGCATACCCTGGATGTCAGTGTCCCAGCTGTAAGACACAGAACACGCTCCTGTCGCACAGGAGGAGGAAAGGTTAATAAGCCATTAACACATTGTGTAGGGCTCAAACACTTTCTTGCATCTCACCCAGCAGCAAGGAGGAAGGAAAAGATTGTGTCAGAATCGTGACAGTTTTGCTTGTACAAGTAAGTGCCTAATTTAGGCCAGAGAAAATGAGGTAAGTTGATATTACTTTGGTGACAAGCCAGCCCACTGATGCTGCCTACTCTAACAAGCCTCAGTCTGACAGAAGTACTCCCACATTCACAATACTAAAACACTACATCACTCAATGTTTACATGATCCTTTTTTTTTTTTTTTTAACTAAAGTCAGTTGTGTTAGGTGATTGGGGTTTGGGGACTTTTTTTTTTTTAACCTTATAGACCAATTAGGGTAGATCAAGCCAATGTCTGAAAGGCTTAGATCTCTCGTTCCACGCTGCTTCTCGTGCAGGTGAAAAACAAACAGGTGTGTTTACGATGCTACCTGCAGCCTACGAAGAAGCCTCACGAAGCTGTCAGA